GTTTTTATTTTGAGTTTATTTATTTCATGAAAAGCAAAAGAGGACCCACTTTTCATTTATTTTACAAGAATTTCTTGTGCTTGAGAGTGTAGAGAACAAGGGGAGAGGATGACATTTAATGGGAAAAGGGTAAAGAGAGCTTTTTATTTATGTATGAAAGTTTATCATATAAAATATTTGTTTTTTTTTTAACTTTATTTTGCTAACTTGAGTTTGAGCTTTATAAGCTAACATATTATTTACTTGAAGCTTTGGAGATAAGCCTATATTGTTTGTTTTTAGGATTTTCAAATTATACAAAACTCCAAATATATTTTTACAAGTACACATTTTAATGGGAGAAAAAAAAAGATATTACATGTCATTATTATGAAATTTACATTAGAAAAGTATTTCTTCAATACGTAAAAATCATGAAAACTATATGATATTTATTTGCTACATGCAATTAGTGATATAAATTTATATTGTCCATTTTGTCTCATTTATGTTTACTTATTCAAGTGACCACTTTTATGTACCTATTTAAACTCTCTTCACAATGCTTTTTTCTATTGACTGGAAGGAAAAAAATCATGCAAAAAAGAACAAGTAGAATTACAAAGGAGTTCTATAGCTATTTTGGTGGAGCCTATGTTATTCCATTTGTCGGTTGTGAAACAAAATAATGATGGGAAAAAGGCGTTACAAACTCATTTAAAACAATAATCATTTGAGGTAGTCACTTAATGTCCTTTGTAACAAGGTTCTAAGGTCGAATATTTGTCATAGGTACCACATAAACTAATTTTAATTCTATCATTCCATATAAAAAATTGAAGTTGACATTTCTTCTATTTTAAAAGACAAAATATACTCTTAAAATAAACAAATCCATTTTAATATGGTGACAATGGTGTAAGATGAAATCAAAATTTATAATTTCTTGTCATGTTTTAGGTTACTATCCATTATAACTTGATATGACAAAAATATATGTGCATCACAGGTTACCTTGTAATTAGACACACGTGAGAATTTGGACTCTATCATAAAATAACAAACCATTCTCTCCTCATTATCATAAGGGGAATTATTAGTACTTGATTTTTGTCAAGAGAAAAACATTAAAAATCCTAACGCTATTTGGCTAATGACTATGTACATTAAAATAATCTACATTGTCAAAATAATATAAATCCTCAACAATGAAAAAAGTTGATAATTCAATCTCAAAAGGGGTGCAGGTTCCTACTCAGTCCGTGCATGTTGGTAAAGAATCCAAATATATTGTGTTTGTATGGCAAGAATGATCTTCGTTTATTTATTCCTTTACTCATTTTATTCTTCACATAAAGCTTCTCATAAGCCGATAATGTATTTTTGGGTTGATCACCCTTTCTCTTTTTAACAATGATGTCATCTACCTTGTGCTTGATTGTCGTTTTTGGCACCGAAGGATTCAATATGACATAAGAATCCATATGGTCACTATTACTTTGAAGATTCAAATTTTGTCTAAGTCTCCATAGATTTGATGACCCTGTGGAGTTGCTTTTTTCATAGCAATCACTTGAACTTTTAATTGTCATATTTAGCAATAACTCATTTTGAATTTTTTTAGAAATACCACCCGATATTGATTTTGGACTTATAGAATTCTTAATAAAGATGTTCTTTATGGGAGGTCGAAGATTTGAAGCATTGTTATTTTTGGTGGGGAAGAATTGAAGAGATTGGTTAAAAGTAGGGAGTAATGTTCGCATTTTTCCATTTTCAAATATGTCATCGGCAAATATTTCCATTCCTTGGACATCAGTGCATGAAAAAGTAAATTCTCGCTCTTCAGTATTTTCTCCATCACTATTGTGAATTTGTTGATTGGAGCTGCAATATGATTCAGATTTATCTTTAACGGGAGCAAAGACTTCAAAATCTAAAAAAGAATCGTTGTTAATTTGTATTTTTGTGCTACAATATGGATCAAGATTATCTTGAATGAAAGCAAAGCCATCAAAATCAAAAGACGTGTCGTCACTTATTGGGTCCTTTGTGTCACAGCATGGATCAACTTTATCTTGAATGGGAGCTAAGAAAGAAAAATCAAGAAAAGGGTGAGGTGTACAGAGAATTGATAGTGCTTGCACCCTTAACACCTCTATATTTGAGTTTGTTTTCTGCATTTTGTTTCAATAGAGAGATTGAGATATGTGATAAAGTGAAATGAATATTGGAAGCGGTTGTTAATGAGAAATATTTATATATAAAAAACAATGTGTTGTTTTACAATGTCAGTTCAATGGAACTCGGTTAGCTTGGATATTTAGGGAGGTAGTTATAAGCGAAAGGTGTGAAGAGTGTTAAGAACTTGCAAATTTGTTTTACGTTACAACTTAGATTTGTTTCTAAACAATTTTAGTTCGAATAATTTTTTTTTCAATTAAGGATATTATATTGGGATTTACGATAATTTCCCCTCTTATAGAAACATATTTGCTAGTTCTTATGGTTTGGATGTGTTAAACAACTTATTGGTAAGTGCAACCACTTCAGTTTTGCTTGTTAGTGGCTACTTATATAGTATGGTTATCAATTATAATTTTATTGTTAGTTTCTAATATAAGAATAAAAAATTTAATTGAAAAAAAATGAAATTATACTTAGATGAAAAGAATTTAAATTTAAATTTCATGACATTATCCCTATGTAGAACGTATATATAAAAAAATATTTTCAAAGTAAAATCCATAATTATTCTTTAGGAGATAAAACATTTGAATTTTTTTTTAGAAATAGTGCTTTAATAATTTTCATTTTATCTGTTGTTTAATAGAACAATCAAATAAAAGAAAATATAGATTAAACAGATAATGCATATTGGTTCATTTTATTCCCATTAGTGTGCAATAATAAAACTTCATATGAGTTGCTTAATGTTGATAGATCTATTTTAGATAATTACATGTTATTTTATTTGAAATGATCTATATTTTAATATGATAAATCGTTAAGGTAAAAATTAAATAATACTCAAATTAATTGTATATATTTTATATTGTAACATCCCCAAAATTAACCAGCTAAATAATATCCATTTTAAGTTTCTTTGTAGAAAACCGTATGATGTATTATAGAAAATGATTATATATTAAATTTATTAATAACTTTTATGTAAGATATGGATGTTAGATCGCTTTCAAAGTTATATTAGGAAAGGCTCTACTAAGGTAACGATCATATACACATTCACATGTGATTTGAATAATGTTTTATTTTACTTTTATTTCTTGAGATGTGTGGGTTTGTCCATAATATATTACAAGGATCTACCAATATCGCTCTACCTCATGAAGTTTTTTGTAAGTTTTTATTTTGAGTTTATTTATTTCATGAAAAGCAAAAGAGGACCCACTTTTCATTTATTTTACAAGAATTTCTTGTGCTTGAGAGTGTAGAGAACAAGGGGAGAGGATGGCATTTAATGGGAAAAGGGTAAAGAGAGCTTTTTATTTATGTATGAAAGTTTATCATATAAAATATTTGTTTTTTTTTAAACTTTATTTTGCTAACTTGAGTTTGAGCTTTATAAGCTAACATATTATTTACTTGAAGCTTTGGAGATAAGCCTATATTGTTTGTTTTTAGGATTTTCAAATTATACAAAACTCCAAATATATTTTTACAAGTACACATTTTAATGGGAGAAAAAAAAAGATATTACATGTCATTATTATGAAATTTACATTAGAAAAGTGTTTCTTCAATACGTAAAAATCATGAAAACTATATGATATTTATTTGCTACATGCAATTAGTGATATAAATTTATATTGTCCATTTTGTCTCATTTATGTTTACTTATTCAAGTGACCACTTTTATGTACCTATTTAAACTCTCTTCACAATGCTTTTTTCTATTGACTGGAAGGAAAAAAATCATGCAAAAAAGAACAACTAGAATTACAAAGGAGTTCTATAGCTATTTTGGTGGAGCCTATGTTATTCCATTTGTCGGTTGCGAAACAAAATAATTATGGGAAAAAGGCGTTACAAACTCATTTAAAACAATAATCATTTGAGGTAGTCACTTAATGTGATTTGTAACAAGGTTCTAAGGTCGAATATTTGTCATAGGTACCACATAAACTAATTTTAATTCTGTCATTCCATATAAAAAATTGAAGTTGACATTTCTTCTATTTTAAAAGACAAAATATACTCTTAAAATAAACAAATCCATTTTAATATGGTGACAATGGTGTAAGATGAAATCAAAAGTTATAATTTCTTGTCATGTTTTAGGTTACTATCCATTATAACTTGATATGACAAAAATATATGTGCATCACAGGTTACCCTGTAATTAGACACACGTGAGAATTTGGACTCTATCATAAAATAACAAACCATTCTCTCCTCATTATCATAAGGGGAATTATTAGCACTTGATTTTTGTCAAGAGAAAATAATTAAAAATCCTAACGCTATCTGGCTAATGACTATGTACATTAAATTAATCTACATTGTCAAAATAATATAAATCCTCAACAATGAAAAAAGTTGATAATTCAATCTCAAAAGGGGTGCAGGTTCCTACTCAGTCCGTGCATGTTGGTAAAGAATCAAAATATATTGTGTTTGTATGGCAAGAATGATCTTCGTTTATTTATTCCTTTTCTCATTTTATTCTTCACATAAAGCTTCTCATAAGCCGATAATGTATTTTTGGGTTGATCACCCTTTCTCTTTTTAACAATGATGTCATCTACCTTGTGCTTGATTGTCGTTTTTGGCACCGAAGGATTCAATATGACATAAGAATCCATATGGTCACTATTACTTCGAAGATTCAAATTTTGTCTAAGTCTCCATAGATTTGATGACCCTGTGGAGTTGCTTTTTTCATAGCAATCACTTGAACTTTTAATTGTCATATTTAGCAATAACTCATTTTGAGTTTTTTTTGGAAATACCACCCGATATGGATTTTGGACTTATAGAATTCTTAATAAAGATGTTCTTTATGGGAGGTCGAAGATTTGAAGCATTGTTATTTGTGGTGGGGAAGAATTGAAGAGATTGGTTAAAAGTAGGGAGTAATGTTCGCATTTTTCCATTTTCAAAATGTCATCGGCAAATATTTCCATTCCTTGGACATCAGTGCATGAAAAAGTAAATTCTCGCTCTTCAGTATTTTCTCCATCACTATTGTGAATTTGTTGATTGGAGCTGCAATATGATTCAGATTTATCTTTAACGGGAGCAAAGACTTCAAAATCTAAAAAAGAATCGTTGTTAATTTGTATTTTTGTGCTACAATATGGATCAAGATTATCTTGAATGAAAGCAAAGCCATCAAAATCAAAAGACGTGTCGTCACTTATTGGGTCCTTTGTGTCACAAAATGGATCAACTTTATCTTGAATAGGAGCTAAGAAAGAAAAATCAAGAAAAGGGTGAGGTGTACAGAGAATTGATAGTGCTTGCACCCTTAACACCTCTATATTTGAGTTTGTTTTCTGCATTTTGTTTCAATAGAGAGATTGAGATATGTGATAAAGTGAAATGAATATTGGAAGCGGTTGTTAATGAGAAATATTTATATATAAAAAACAATGTGTTGTTTTACAATGTCAGTTCAATGGAACTCGGTTAGCTTGGATATTTAGGGAGGTAGTTATAAGCGAAAGGTGTGAAGAGTGTTAAGAACTTGCAAATTTGTTTTACGTTACAACTTAGATTTCTTTCTAAACAATTTTAGTTCGAATAATATTTTTTTCAATTAAGGATATTATATTGGGATTTACGATAATTTCCCCTCTTATAGAAAAATATTTGCTAGTTCTTATGGTTTGGAGGTGTTAAACAACTTATTGGTAAGTGCAACCACTTCAGTTTTGCTTGTTAGAGGCTACTTATATAGTATGGTTATCAATTAGAATTTTATTGTTAGTTTCTAATATAACAATAAAAAAATTTAATTGAAAAAAAATGAAATTATACTTAGATGAAAAGAATTTAAATTTAAATTTCATGACATTATCCCTATGTAGAACGTATATATAAAAAAATATTTTCAAAGTAAAATCCATAATTATTTTTTAGGAGATAAAACATTTGAATTTTTTTTTAGAAATAGTGCTTTAATAATTTTCATTTTATCTGTTGTTTAATAGAACTATCAAATAAAAGAAAATATAGATTAAACAGATAATGCATATTGGTTCATTTTATTCCCATTAGTGTGCAATAATAAAACTTCATATGAGTTGCTTAATGTTGATAGATCTATTTTAGATAATTACATGTTATTTTATTTGAAATGATCTATATTTTAATATGATAAATCGTTAAGGTAAAAATTAAATAATACTCAAATTAATTGTAGATATTTTATATTGTAACATCCCCAAAATTAACCAGCTAAATAATATCTATTTTAAGTTTCTTTGTAGAAAACCGTATGATGTATTATAGAAAATGATTATATATTAAATTTATTAATAACTTTTATGTAAGATATGGATGTTAGATCGCTTTCAAAGTTATATTAGGAAAGGCTTTACTAAGGTAACGATCAGATACACATTCACATGTGATTTGAATAATGTTTTATTTTACTTTTATTTCTTGAGATGTGTGGGTTTGTCCCTAATATATTACAAGGATCTACCAATATCGCTCTACCTCATGACATTTTTTGTAAGTTTTTATTTTGAGTTTATTTATTTCATGAAAAGCAAAAGAGGACCCACTTTTCATTTATTTTACAAGAATTTCTTGTGCTTGAGAGTGTAGAGAACAAGGGGAGAGGATGGCATTTAATGGGAAAAGGGTAAAGAGAGCTTTTTATTTATGTATGAAAGTTTATCATATAAAATATTTGTTTTTTTTTAAACTTTATTTTGCTAACATGAGTTTGAGCTTTTTAAGCTAACATATTATTTACTTGAAGCTTTGGAGATAAGCCTATATTGTTTGTTTTTAGGATTTTCAAATTATACAAAACTCCAAATATATTTTTACAAGTACACATTTTAATGGGAGAAAAAATAAGATATTACATGTCATTATTATGAAATTTACATTAGAAAAGTGTTTCTTCAATACGTAAAAATCATGAAAACTATATGATATTTATTTGCTAGATGCAATTAGTGATATAAATTTATATTGTCCATTTTGTCTCATTTATGTTGACTTATTCAAGTGACCACTTTTATGTACCTATTTAAACTCTCTTCACAATGCTTTTTTCTATTGACTGGAAGGAAAAAAATCATGCAAAAAAGAACAAGTAGAATTACAAAGGAGTTCTATAGCTATTTTGGTGGAGCCTATGTTATTCCATTTCTCGGTTGCGAAACAAAATAATGATGGGAAAAAGGCGTTACAAACTCATTTAAAACAATAATCATTTGAGGTAGTCACTTAATGTGATTTGTAACAAGGTTCTAAGGTCGAATATTTGTCATAGGTACCACATAAACTAATTTTAATTCTGTCATTCCATATAAAAAATTGAAGTTGACATTTCTTCTATTTTAAAAGACAAAATATACTCTTAAAATAAACAAATCCATTTTAATATGGTGACAATGGTGTAAGATGAAATCAAAAGTTATAATTTCTTGTCACGTTTTAGGTTACTATCCATTATAACTTGATATGACAAAAATATATGTGCATCACAGGTTACCCTGTAATTAGACACACGTGAGAATTTGGACTCTATCATAAAATAACAAACCATTATGTCCTCATTATCATAAGGGGAATTATTAGCACTTGATTTTTGTCAAGAGAAAAAAATTAAAAATCCTAACGCTATTTGGCTAATGACTATGTACATTAAATTAATCTACATTGTCAAAATAATATAAATCCTCAACAATGAAAAAAGTTGATAATTCAATCTCAAAAGGGGTGCAGGTTCCTACTCAGTCCGTGCATGTTGGTAAAGAATCCAAATATATTGTGTTTGTATGGCAAGGATGATCTTCGTTTATTTATTCCTTTTCTCATTTTATTCTTCACATAAAGCTTCTCATAAGCCGATAATGTATTTTTGGGTTGATCACCCTTTCTCCTTTTAACAATGATGTCATCTACCTTGTGCTTGATTGTCGTTTTTGGCACCGAAGGATTCAATATGACATAAGAATCCATACGGTCACTATTACTTCGAAGATTCAAATTTTGTCTAAGTCTCCATAGATTTGATGACCCTGTGGAGTTGCTTTTTTCATAGCAATCACTTGAACTTTTAATTTTCATATTTAGCAATAACTCATTTTGAGTTTTTTTAGAAATACCACCCGATATTGAATTTGGACTTATAGAATTCTTAATAAAGACGTTCTTTATGGGAGGTCGAATATGTGAAGCATTGTTATTTGTGGTGGGGAAGAATTGAAGAGATTGGTTAAAAGTAGGGAGTAATGTTCGCATTTTTCCATTTTCAAATATGTCATCGGCAAATATTTCCATTCCTTGGACATCAGTGCATGAAAAAGTAAATTCTCGCTCTTCAGTATTTTCTCCATCACTATTGTGAATTTGTTGATTGGAGCTGCAATATGATTCAGATTTATCTTTAACGGGAGCAAAGACTTCAAAATCTAAAAAAGAATCGCTGTTAATTTGTATTTTTGTGCTACAATATGGATTAAGATTATCTTGAATGAAAGAAAAGCCATCAAAATCAAAAGACGCGTCGTCACTTATTGGGTCCTTTGTGTCACAGCATGGATCAACTTTATCTTGAATGGGAGCTAAGAAAGAAAAATCAAGAAAAGGGTGAGGTGTACAGAGAATTGATAGTGCTTGCACCCTTAACACCTCTATATTTGAGTTTGTTTTCTGCATTTTGTTTCAATAGAGAGATTGAGATATGTGATAAAGTGAAATGAATATTGGAAGCGGTTGTTAATGAGAAATATTTATATATAAAAAACAATGTGTTATTTTACAATGTCAGTTCAATGGAACTCGGTTAGCTTGGATATTTAGGGAGGTAGTTATAAGCGAAAGGTGTGAAGAGTGTTAAGAACTTGCAAATTTGTTTTACATTACAACTTAGATTTGTTTCTAAATAATTTTAGTTCGAATAATTTTTTTTTTCAATTAAGGATATTATATTGGGATTTACGATAATTTCCCCTCTTATAGAAAAACATTTGCTAGTTCTTATGGTTTGGAGGTGTTAAACAACTTATTGGTAAGTGCAACCACTTCAGTTTTGCTTGTTAGTGGCTACTTATATAGTATGGTTATGAATTAGAATTTTATTGTTAGTTTCTAATATAAGAATAAAAAAATTAAATTGAAAAAAAAATGAAATTATACTTAGATGAAAAGAATTTAAATTTAAATTTCATGACATTATCCCTATGTAGAACGTATATATAAAAAAATATTTTCAAAGTAAAATCCATAATTATTTTTTAGGAGATAAAACATTTGAATTTATTTTTAGAAATAGTTCTTTAATAATTTTCATTTTATCTGTTGTTTAATAGAACTATCAAATAAAAGAAAATATAGATTAAACAGATAATGCATATTGGTTCATTTTATTCCCATTAGTGGGCAATAATAAAACTTCATATGAGTTGCTTAATGTTGATAGATCTATTTTTGATAATTACATGTTATTTTATTTGAAATGATCTAAATTTTAATATGATAAATCGTTAAGGTAAAAATTAAATAATACTCAAATTAATTGTAGATATTTTATATGGTAACATCCCTAAAATTAACCAGCTAAATAATATCCATTTTAAGTTTCTTTGTAGAAAATCGTATGATGTATTATAGAAAATGATTATATATTAAATTTATTAATAAATTTTATGTAAGAGATGGATGTTAGATCGCTTTCAAAGTTATATTAGGAAAGGCTTTACTAAGGTAACGATCAGATACACATTCACATGTGATTTGAATAATGTTTTATTTTACTTTTATTTCTTGAGATGTGTGGGTTTGTCCCTAATATATTACAAGGATCTACCAATATCGCTCTACCTCATGAAGTTTTTATTTTGAGTTTATTTATTTCATGAAAAGCAAAAGAGGACCAACTTTTCATTTATTTTACAAGAATTTCTTGTGCTTGAGAGTGTAGAGAACAAGGGGAGAGGATGGCATTTAATGGGAAAAGGGTAAAGAGAGCTTTTTATTTATGTATGAAAGTTTATCATATAAAATATTTGTTTTTTTTTAAACTTTATTTTGCTAACATGAGTTTGAGCTTTATAAGCTAACATATTATTTACTTGAAGCTTTGGAGATAAGCCTATATTGTTTGTTTTTAGGATTTTCAAATTATACAAAACTCCAAATATATTTTTACAAGTACACATTTTAATGGGAGAAAAAAAAAGATATTACATGTCATTATTATGAAATTTACATTAGAAAAGTGTTTCTTCAATACGTAAAAATCATGAAAACTATATGATATTTATTTGCTAGATGCAATTAGTGATATAAATTTATATTGTCCATTTTGTCTCAT